TCTATCTATCTATCTATCTATCTATCTATCTATCTATCTATCTATCTATCATCTACCAATCTATCTACCATCACCAATCTCCTGTATATCCTCTTTGTTCTATCTATGATCTAGCTATCTTTCTACATACCATCATTATCTACGACCTCAATCAAAGGATATTTAAAGCTTCCCAGTGACTGTACAATAAAAGCTAATTTGTCATTTACATACAGTGACATAAAGTGAAAGGCATTCTGATTCGTCAAGTATCCAGGTTTCTTCCACTGCACTGCAAGATTTTCCACAGATGAGAATGGATGAAAAATTATTCCCACAACTTTCTGTCCACAAAACTCCACTTCAGTGCAAGAGAAGCCAGGAACAATCTAAGCATGGACACCAAGAGCCAATAGCTGTTGTGTTTATCCTTATCATATTTTATTGAACAGATATAAAGCATTTGGTTGGAGTTTCCTGTAGACTTTGTTGAAGACATTAATACTATGCATGTACTAGCTGGGCACGGTGGCTTACGTCTGTAATCCCAATGCTAGGGGAGGCAGAGAAGGGCAGATCTCTGTGAGTTTGAGGCCAGCCTGCTCTACAAAGCGATTCTAGGACAGGCAAGACTACACAGACAAACACTGTCTCTAAAAAACAAATAGATACATTATATATATTATGTTATATATTATATATAATTAGATATAAACAAATATATATACATAACATGTATATATACCTATTACATAATCTATATGGACTGAATATACAGATCTTAGCTATTAACTATCTATTCATTTATGTTGTTTTGTCTCTAAAGTATGAAGTCTTTTGAAGACAAAATCTAGCCAGCTATCAAAATTTCAAGTGGGAAATATGTATGTGATTGGAGAACCATATGTGTACCAACCGCCCTTTGAGGCCTAAATTTGAATCTTGAGTGTTTTATATTCTGTGTAACTATGGCCGGGTATTTAACTTTTTGATTCCCTTTTTTCAGTTGCTAAAAGGAGATAACTATAGTACTATAGTTAAAGATTCACATTGTATAATTAACTCAATGCCTAAAGCAATGAAAGCTAAACAATCATGGGTGTGTGTGTTATCACTGAGTTAGCAACTGTTGCTAATTTTGAGTACTCAATCAGTAAATGCTTATTACAATGAGATAAAAATCTGTCATAATATCACAGAGTAGTCATCTAGGCCTTTGCCTGAATATATTTAAAGATTCTAGATTACATTGTAATCTAATGTAATATGGTGACAAATGCCAAAATTAATTACCATTATTAGAAAATTCCTAAAGTAATAAATGTTACAACTAAAATCTAATAAATACTGAGCATTTATTTAGTGCCTGGCTCAGAACCAAACCCAACACTCCCATTATGATTTTTCCATGAAAATGTTGATCCCTGAACCTGTCTCACTGCTGATGTTGTAGTGATATGAATATTAAGGTTTAGAAGGTTGAAATACTAAATCCAGGGCCCCACAGTCCCTTGGTACCAAGGAGATTTGACTCAGTAATAATCAAAAACAATTCCCTTCAGACTTGCTCATTTTGTCCTTCACCTTTAAGGAAATACTGGAAACCTTTCGTATTTCTTTATCTCAAAATCAGATGGACTCCGCTGTTTGTTTTTTTTTTTTTTTTCCAGGATGCTATTGCTATTAAAAATCTGTTTCTTCCCATATCCCCCCTCGTTTCAAAACCTTTAACTGCAGTTCAGTTTTTCATTACCTCCTGTCTGGACTCTTAGAATAAATAGCTTCTAATTGCCCTCCCCATTTTGGGAACATAACTCACACACATGAACAGTCCTGTTGAAAGTTCCTCAGGGGTCCTTATCTCCTACAACACAGTCTTCCGCCTCCTTAGTTGGCAGCCTGCCTGAGGTGTGGCCTCTGCTTCCTTTCCTAACCCTCTCTCCTGGCTCACATCCTTGCGTTCTGTCTTTCAGAAGATCTGCAGATGTTTTCTCTGTATTCCCAGGGTGATATTCTCCACTCAGGCTCTGCCTCATGCTTCCCGTCTCAACCTGTATACCCTTTATTTTTGCTAGTTTCTCAAGACATAATACATAAAAACCACCAGATAGGCTTTGCTGCTACAGTCCCTTCTGCCTCTGTTTCATTTTCCTAGCTAGTCTCATTTCATCGTCTCACATACTTTTGAAGATCCTTATTAGAATTTCTGTTCATGTGTGTCAGCTACATCCTCCTCCACTCCCCCACCCCTCAAAATAGAAAATATATTTCCTAAATGTCATCATTCACACTCCTTAGTATCTTCCCGACTGCCTATATATCATTATGATTTATAGACATGATGAACTTACAAAATAAGATAATAGATACTTTATCAGGACCAAATACCCTCAGTCAGAATATAAGCAAATCTCTGAATAAAATATCTTCTCAGTTTTCTTAACAAAAATAAAAGTCACAGATAGCGATTACAAGTTCATATTCCATTTATTCTTCAAAAATTCGCAATTAAATGCTACCTGTGACCTGCTATGCACATGATGAATCTCACAAAAGACATCATTCTCTCTACTCATACCTGTGGTGCGAAACCACATGCCACGCGAGGTCCCTCTGCGCTCGAAATTTGTGAGTGTAAAGGACATCTAATACTAGATGGTTACAAAGTGATTAAAAAGGAAGAGATTGGCCTTTGGGCCATGGGAAGTCACAGATATTTATTGCGTGTATATTTCTCCTGTCCTTTAGTGCTTGTTTGTCACAGGCCATGCTCTTGGAGGCAACAGGCATCTGGGCCAGGAGGTGCTGGACCCCTGATGGTAATATAAGCAAATCTGTCTATCTATCTGTCTATCTATTTTTCTATCTATCTATCTATCTATCTATCTATCTATCTATCTATCTATCTATCTATCTGTCCATTATCTTCTATCTATCATCTTTTCCATCTCTGTGTGTTTATGTGTGTGGGTGTAAGAGAGGAGAAAGAAAAACATCGTTTTATAGATTCTTATATTACATATTTCATGAATAGTACTGCAAGCTTTTACTTTAGGTCACTTGAAAGTTTTAATTTCATTGCAAATTCCTGGGGCTGGAGAAGGCAGCATTTTTGTTTTTGTTTTTGTTTTTTCTGTATTAAATATCTTGCCTTATCTACATTTACTAGGCTCCTCCAGCCGAGTTTAAGTATATTGCATCTATATTTTCACGACATGCCATAGTGACTAATCCATAGTAATTGCCATTAAATGTTAGTGAAACATTTGCCTTCTTGGGTTGTCCTTATGCTGAGGAAAGTCTGCACAAACAGCTAGCATATATTTGATAGTGCATTAGTGTGTGTTGTAATTTGTCCAGCACTGCAAAGATGAGATCAGCTACATGGCAACTTAGTAAGGACAAGAAGGCGTTCTTCACCTTTTCTAAAATAAGCAAATATCAAACTCTTTCTTGCTAAAAGATTAAAATTTCTTTCACAGTGTCTTACATCAAATGGGGCAGAACAGGACTGGAAGGCTTACCTCAAAGCTCACAGCTCCGTTGTGGTCCGTATCAAATGCATTGAACAGAAAATGCGCATATGTTGTAGAGTCTGAAACATGGAGAAGGGGATACCCTTCAGTTAGGGTTTCTATAACTACCCCTTTTCCGTTAAAGTGTATTTTGATCTCTGCCGCCCACTCTTTCTGTAGTGAATTGCAACTTAAAACTCATAGGAATGAGCTACATTCTGAGGCCATTGGTGGCATGTTCTGAACCTCTGGCTAGGATTAATCTCAACACATGAGATTGTGGGTATTGATCTCAGCCCCTGAAATGAGTACTGGTCCCATAGGTGGATGTCAAGATTATAGAGACATGTCTGTACATTGTTTGGTGTTTGGCAAAATTTTATGTCCATAAGTAATGAGAACCCAAATAATGAGACACGCAAGAGTATCATTATTATTTCTGTCCTTACCAAGATTGTCATTGTTCTTATGCTAAGAGAAGTATTTTTGTATGTAGAAAGGTTGTAAAACTTACCCAAAGTCACCTAGTCACTAAGCTGTAGACCTGAGGCATGAAAGTTCTGAGGCAGTCCTATAACCAGTAAATTTGGCTGGCGGCTTTGGGACAGTGGTGATTTAGGAAGCTTCTGGTGGTTCACACATAGAGGATTGTGTAGAACTTGAGATTCTGCCACTATCCTGCCTGTGTCATGGGTGGGATTTACTGCTATGAATAACAAGGACAAAAATGGATGATTCAGTGTCCTCACTGTCTCTGATTCGGTCTAAGGTCACTTCACTGAAGGTCTCTGAAATTTAAGTCTTCCCTCGTGTTTGTTTCTCTTGTCTACTCTTTCTCTCCCTTTTGCTTTTCCAATGTCTAACTAATCTCTGAGCTTTCTTCAGTTTTCATTTTAAAAGCATTTCTCTTTGTTTTCTTTTCTTAATGCCCAGCTTTATTCTTTAAATGCTTTGTGCTCAATTCTTGATCAGATTTACATGATTATGTTAAATGCTTCCTCTCCTGGGCTTTAGCCTTTAATCTTCACCCTACAAAAATGTAACCTTTTAGTCTTTTCCTTCTAGCCCTTTATCTGTTGCCTTAAAAGCTCATTAATTTCTATTTCATGACTTCTGGTTTTTATTTTTACTGGGATTTTTTATAATTTCTATTTCTTTTTGACATTATGAATTGCTTTTAAAGCTGCCATGGAACTGAAGCCTAGTAGCATGGATAAGGAATTACCTTTTCCCAAGGAAAACAAATACCCCTGCTTTTCCTCTTTCCAAGTCTCTCCATTCTGTCAGAGGGAGTCCAAACTTCTCTCTGCACTCTAGAGATTATGAGCTATTTAGTAATGTTTTCCCTCCATGTTTCATCGGAGTCATTGGTTGTTAACATAAAGGTAATGCATCTCAAAGCTGACTGCACATTTCATCTCTCAAAGATGAGGGTAGCAGCTCCCCTCATCGCCTCATTGCTAACTACAGTATAATACATCAATGACTTTAACCATGTGAATTTTACCTATTTCTCTCTCTGTGTTTCTTTGTGTTTATACTTTTCTCTGTCTGTCTGTCTTTGTCTCTCTCTCTCTCTCTCTGTGTGTGTGTGTGTGTGTTTGTGTGTGTTTGTGTGTGTGTGTGCATATCTGTGTATGTGGGGGGGTTCCTGCCTGTATGGGCATGTGTATTTGCACACGCATGCGTAAATGTAGACAAGTTGTCAATATTGGCTATCTCTGTCTATCACTTTCTGCCTTAGTTTTGATGACAGGGTTTCTCACTGAACATGGAAGTTGCCATTTTAGATAGGCAGGCTGGCTATGAGCCTCTGGGAAGCATCTGCATACTGGAGTCACAAATGCACACCAGCACACCTGGCGTTTATATGCGTATAGGGAATCTGAGCTCAGTTCTTCATACTTGGGCAATTAACTAAGCCATCTTCCCAGCCCCATTAACATTATTTTCAGTCAGTTAACCAGTCACCCAAATTGGGTCCATGCAATGTGTGAAACTGGCAGCATTTAGATTGATACTTGTGTGGTATTGATAATTTCTAGAAAGAAGTTATTTTGGATGTGAGACCAGGGATTTAGTTGCAATTGACTTAGTTCAATTGTTGGAAAATTTTATTATATAATAATGAAGAATTGGCAGCCTATTCAGGTTTGGAAAGTTGTTTTGCACTCAATAATACTTTTCACATACTTCTTAAACTCTTTATAATTCCAAGGAGGTATGAGCTTATGGGTGCCATATTATTTCCAAGGGAAGAAAAAAAATAAGTTTTGCATAGTTTATAATGAGCTTAATTAGCGAGTCTCTTGTCACTGTGTTTAGATAATTAAGGTAAATATCTTTACCTTAGCTAGCAAAACTCACCATGAATAATGGCTCATAATAGACAATGCTTGCACTTTTTAATTTAAAAAACAAGACAATATAGGCGTGTGATAATTATTCTTCTCAAATGGTATCTCGTTAGTTTCAATGCTTGACACGTAGCAATGACACTCTCAATGTTTACACTGATGTGGATCAGGGGACTTCTTGTTTGTCACTGCACCTTGACAATTCTCTTGAAAGTTTAGCCAATTTTTCAGCCTAATTTTATCATGCAGAGAAGTCTTGCTAATAGAAAAATAAAATCAGAGTGCATGACTTTGAATCTCAGCATTTTCAAAGACTAACAGTGTGGCCTTGTATCAATCAATACTTCTGTGACTCAGTTTCTGCATCCATAAATAATAGTGATACTAGCTTATACTTTATAGAACCAGCAGGAAGTTTTAATGAGATATTACATGTACAAAGTTTTCATAATAGTCACAGAAACCTATTAGATGTTCAGTGACTATTAGTTGTCATTACTGTTCTAATGCTTGAATTTCATCTAATAGTTTGATCCAATAGCTTAAGCCATGAAAATATCTCAGACTTAGGAGTTAAATTAATTCGATGGAGTTTTTTCTTCCCATCTAAATTCTACCCCATCTGGACACAAGTGCTATGTGTAGGAGTAGTCCAACATATTCAAATACGGAATTCAAGGCATTGTTATTCTGCAGATCTGTATGTGTGAATAGTAGTCTCTGTCAGTGAGTCCTCTAAGACCAGGGGTGGAATTCGGTGGTAGAGAATGAATTTTCCCTGTGAAAGACTGGGGGTTCAAGCACCCCATTCCCTCAAAAGTAACAGCAATCTCAGGTCGTTTTGGTATGCACCTCCCTGATGGCTAAGGACATTGAGCATTTCATTAAGTGTATCTCTGCCATTCTATATTCCTCTACAGAGAATTCTCCGTTTAGCTCCGTACCTCATTTTTTAATTGGATTACTTGATTTGTTGCTGTTTAACTTCTTGAGTTCTTTACATATTCTGGATATCAGCCCTCTGTCAGACATAGGGTTTGTGAAATTCCTTTCCCAGTCTGTAGGCTGTCGTTTTGTTATGATGACAGTGTCTTTTGCTTTACAGAAGCTTTTCAGTTTCATGAAGTCCCATTTATTGATTGTTGCTCTTAGAGCCTGTGCTGTTGGTGTTTTGTTCAGGAAGTTGTCTCCTGTACCAATGAGTTCCAGGTTCTTCCCCACTTTTTTCTTCTGACAGGTTTAGTGTGTCTGGTTATATTGAGGTCTTTGATCCATTTGGACTTTAATATTGTGCAGGGTGATAAGTATAGATCTATTTGCATTTTTCTACAGGTAAACATCCAGTTAGACCAGCACCATGTGTTGAAGATGCTGTCTTTTTTCAATTGAATGGTTTTGGCTTCTGGTCAAAAATCAAGTACCTGTAGGTGTGTGGGTTTATTTCTGGGTCTTTAATTTAATTCCATTGATCTACCTTTCTGTTTCTATGCCAATACCATGCAGTTTTTTATTATTATTGCTCTGTAGTACAGCTTGAGATCAGGGATGTAGATATCTCCAGAAGATCTGTTGTTGCAAAGGATTGTTTTGGAAATTCTATGGCTAAAATAAAAACTCAAGTGATTACACATGCTGGAGAGGTTGTGGAGAAAGAGGAACCCTCCTCCATTGCTGGTGGGAATATAAACTTGTACAATCACTTTGGAAATTAATCTGGTGCTTTCTTTGACAATTAGGAATAATGTTTCCTAACCCAGATGTTCCTCAGTTGAGGAATGGATACAGAAATTGTGGTACTTTTACACAATGGAATACTACTCAGCAATTAAAAACGAGGAAATCATGAAATTTGCAGGCAAATGGTGGGACCTAGAAACGCTCATCCTGAGTCAGGTATCCCAAAAGCAGAAAGACACATATGGTATATACTCACTTATATATACCTATAAGATGGGATAAAAATACTGAAATCTATACAACTAAAGAAGATAAACAAGAAAGAGGACACAGGGTAAGATGATCAATTCTCACTTAGAAAGACAAATGGGATGGACATTGGATGTAGGAGCAAACAAGTAACAGGACAGGAGCCTACCACAGTGGGCCTCTGAAAGACTCCACCTAGCAGTGTATCAAAGCAGATATTAAGACTCATAACCAAACCTTCGGCAGAGTGCAGGGAATCAAAAAGAAGGGGGGGGGGAGAGAGTTAATATGACCTGGAGAGGACGGGAGTTCCACAAGGACCAAATATATGTGGGCACAGGGGTCTTTTATGAGACTGTTTCTCCAAACAAGAACCATGTATGGATGCAACATAGAGCCTCTGCTCACATGTAGCCCATGGTAGCTCAGTATCCAAGTGGGTACCCTATAAGGGGAACAGGGACTGTTTCTGACATAAACTCAATGGCAGGCTCTTTGACCTCCTTCCCCCTCCACCCCCCAGGGAGGAGCAAGCCTGCTAGGCCACAGAGGAGGACTTTGCAGCCAATCCTGAAGACACCTGATAAACAAGTATCAGATGAAAAGGGAGGAGGTTCTCCCCTATCAGTGGACTTGGAAAGGAGCAGGGAGGAGATGAGGGTGGGAGGGTGGGATTGGGAGGGAAAGAGGGAGCAGGATACAGCAGGGATACAAAGTTAACAAACTGTAACTAGTATTTAAAAAAATTAAAAAAATTTAATAACTACAAAAAAAAAAAAGGAAAAGGAATAGTGTTT